AGAAACCATGGAGAAATCAGGGGGATTCAATCTAGAAGAGGTAGGCTCAGAGAGACGGAGTTGGAGGAAGTAGAAGAGGTTAGACAAGGACCCAGCTAAGAGGAACTGAAGAGAGAGGGCTTTTAAAGGAGACTGAGACAAAGAGAGGGCTAATGAGGAAACTGGGAGCAGGTGTGCACAAAGTAAGAGAGGCAAAGAACTAGGGAGAAAGGAGAACATAAGAGGGCAGCAGAGGGCAACAAAGAGAAACCTGGAAGACTGGAAATAACAAAATAATAATTAAACTGCTAGAACTATAAAACATGGAAAAAAGAAAACTAAACACTCAAAAGAAAACATAAGAGAACCAAGACTAGGACATTAAATGAAAAAAAAAACAAGGAACACATCAAAATAAAAATAAAACTACTAACACTAGAAAACAAAGGGTAAAGAAAAACTGAACACTAAAAAGAAAATATAACAGAACTAAGACTGAGACAGTAACTGAGAAAAACCCAAGGGACACAATAAACTAAGAATTAACCCACTAAAACTAGTAAACGAGGAGCAAATAAAAACTGGATACTCAAAAAAAAAAAAAAAAACATAACAGAAACCTGACAAAAATGGCCATGGATTTATTTTGTGCTTAAAGGTTTACATTCCATTCCATTAAAGACAGAAAAAAATAAGCTGCCAGTGAAATGACAAAAAACTTGACAAAAGAAAATTATAAAAAATGGAGGTCATAACATTAATTTTGAAAATATATTTCTATATACATATGTATATAATAAAAAAGGAAACAAGTAAAAAGCCTGATGGAGCTCCTGAACTAAAATGTTGTTGGGTAACATTTTGATGCAATCATTTTAATCAGGTGTTTTCTGTAATTTTCAGGAAATGTTCAGTAAGACTTCTGAACATGTTTACTAGTATGTTAGTTCACTGTTCATGTACTACAGTATAGTTTGTCTGGGAAAGTTTGTTTTCTGGAATTATTGTAACAAAAAATTACAACCAACATTTTCTTCTACTATATTAACACTCAGTTAAATTTGATTAATTATATTTTTCAGTTTTGTGTTATTTTGATTACTTGTGAGCATTTATCATTTACTTTAATGGCAAGGAATGTAAACTTTTACTACAAATCGATACAACAGATTTTTATGCCATCAAGTCTTTACAATAAGGTAGAACATGAATTAGAATGTTGATAAAAATGTTACCTGTGTCTCCTGCTGTCTTTTGAGTGATGATAACGTAGAATTGAGGAAAGGAATACTTTCAACCCGCTTGACATGACATCTGTGGTGGTAAATAGTAAATGTCCTGTGTTTTTATAGCGCTTTTTCTAGTCAGGCACTTTACACTACATTTAGTCATTCATCCTTTCACACACACTCTAATGGTGAAAAACTACATTATAGCCACAGCACTGGGGCTCACTAACGGAAGCGAGGCTCCGAAACACTGGCTTCCTCTGACCACCATCAGTAGGCAATGTGGGTAAAGTGTCTTACCCAAGGACACCACCACACCAATGGCCAGAACCGAGGCTTGAACCATCAACCTTTTCATTTCAGGGCAAAGTCCTACATGTCACTCCAGTGGTGGAAGAGACGGGTTGCTGTGGCCCGATTTGTTCATCACCCAGGCTTAATTCCCAAAGATGGTCAAAATACTTGACAGTAGCAGGGCTTTTAGGGTGGATGAGATCAGCCTTGAGTACTTTAGGTCTCTAGAGGTTGTCAGGCTGTTCTGCTTCGCATGCTTCTTCAACATCATTTGGAAATCGGTGACAGTGCCCCTGGATCTGCATACTGGGGTAGTGGTTCCCCTACATAAGAAAGGGTGTGTATCAACTATAGGGGGATAACACTTCTTAGCCTCCCCAAGAAGGCCTATGCCAGGGTAATGCAGAGGAGAGTCTGGCTAACAGTTTAACCTCAGCTTCAGGGGAAGTAGTTAGGTTTTATTTAGAGAGGGAAATCTGGGTGTCTATGCTAAGACTGCTGCCACAATGATCCAGTCTTAAAAAAAGCAGTTAGTTTTTACTTTTAAATTAGAAGACAAAATTATGGAGGAGGCCCAAACAATGTGACAGCAAAGTATAATCCTAACTGGTTTCAGTGCTTATCAGGCTTATCCAACTGGATGTGACGTTTTCTAGAAGATGTTTCATCTCTCATCCAAGAGGCTTCTTCAGTTTTCAACTGGTGGTGGGGAGCACTGAGATTAATATAGCATAGGTGTGATGAGAGAATAAGGGGACCCTCCCAGGTAACCTCGATGGCCCATCCAGTAGGAATTATACAAGCTATTTCAAACGTGACAAAGCAATAAAAAAATGTAACATTAAAGAATTTGACTTAAGAAAATAGATAAGGGGACATATTCTGTTAGTTTCTGCCTTAAATATTGCCGTCTTATTTTTCAGGTGAATTGAAAGTAGCTTTCAGTTGGCCAGTGAATGTCAATATGTCTTCTAATTTGACCTGTACACTGTTAAAAGTCATACTCTCAATTAGTTATCATAACGTTTTTCTATAAATTACTTCCAATTAACATAATGAGTTTTGTAATTTCAACTTAATTTTCTGAGTTACTGGCATTTCAACTCGAGGATGTGAGTCAGTTCAGTGAAACATAAATTTAAATGTCTGAACATAACTTGACAATCTGAGTTTAAAAAAAGGTAACCGGATCTTATAAAAACTGATCACCGCTGGCAATATTAATGCGAGATCCAAATAGTGCCGGAAATTCGCTCTTTATCTGATAAGGGACTAAATATGATGTAAGATTTTGTCAGACTTTATAAAGTTATCCATCCCAGTTAGAACTGCATATTAAATGAAGAAGAGGAACACCACCTGACCACATTAAGGACGTCGAAAGCGAAGTCGTGGATGAATACCATTTTTCAAAGACCTCAGTACAAAAGGCGTTCAAATTCTGCGGGACATTTTTTGGAAATACGAAGCGAGCTGGAGTCATAGAAATAAGGTAAGATTCATTTGTCTTTTTTTTTTGATAATGCCACCCATTTTTAAAATATGTTAAGAGCTAAAGGTTCTCTGTTACATGTTTAAACACAGTACATAAAACAACAGCTTGCTAATTGTCGAGGGCAGGAGTTAGTTAATGCAGTTGAGCCTAGCTAAACGCAGTATGCTACTCGGTTGTGCTTATGAACTTTTCTTAAGAGAAAATGCAAGCAGCTACCACGATTTTGGTATTGTACACTTCCTCAGAAACACATATGTGGTGCTTGGTCAAAGTTTTGCATTGACGTGCTGACTGCAGGTGAGTTAGCGGCTTCGGGAAAGGCTGTGCGTCTGTATTTAGTTGTGTTTCTTGTCAGTAACCCGTGTCCTTTGTTTAATGTGTTGGCGGGCACCTGTGTCCCGTTTCTGGTTGCCGGTCTTGTGCGAAATTCTGTTTCCCCGTGAAAATCTGTTCCCGCTTTGTCGGGAGCGCGCATTGCGGCCAGAGGGGCGGATCTGCCCATTCTCAAGGCGCTCCTGATTATTTTTCGGTAAAAACAGCTCATATAATCATCTCAACTTTGTATCATCCATTTTAATCGGTTGCTCTTTTTAAAAAATTGTAAAATAATTACATTAATGAGGTCCTCTTACGCTGTTTTGTGTTGTTTTTTAAACGCAAAGAGAATCGGTATTTCTCCAACTTTTGTCCCTTCAGCCTGACAGAAATAAACGTCAGTCACCGAACACAACAACACGTAGTGTATTTTTAATTTTTCATTGCTGATATAAGAGGATGGAAACTGGCTGATAGCAGGGCACACAAATTAAGACGTCCTGTGAAGATGAGAGAAGAATTTCTGGTTAATCACCTTCTAATGTAAAATATGACAGATTACTGGATTAAGGACATTTATAGTATACCACATCACACATATCAATTTTAGAGAAATTGGAAACAGTTGCTCTTTATTTCCCAAAGATATGGGAGGAGGAGAGGAGAGAATGGATGTTTCAGCTTACTGAAATATTCTGTTCCCCCTCCATAACAGGGGAAGAAATTGATTTACCTGCAAGTCTTTAACTGTGCTTATTCCTCTCACCACCAAGAACAAATCCTGTGGATTTGGTCATATTTACTGGTTATTTGCAAAAATTAAAGGGGGGGAACCATATATTTCAGCTACCTGAAATAATCTGTTCCCCCTCCATAACAGGGGAAGAAATTAATTTACCTGCAAGTCTTTAACTGTGCTTATTCCTCTCACCACCAAGAACAAATCCTGTGGATTTGGTCATATTTACTGGTTATATGCAAAAATTAAAGGGGGGGGGGAACAGATTATTTCAGCTGCCTGAAATAATCCGCAGGATTTGTTCTTGGTGGTGAGGGGAATAAGCACAGTTAAAGACTTGAATGTAAATAAATTTTTTCCCCTGTTATGGAGGGGGGACAGATTATTTCAGGCAGCTGAAATATATGGTTCCCCCCCTTTAATTTTTGCAGATCTTTGAATTTCAAAGATTTGCCTTGCCCCATAATGCTGTTACTGATTATCTTAAATGTTAAAATACTTTTTTGTTTTGTTTTTTCATAGATTTATTTTAAGCTTATTGTTATATTGATGAAACAAGTTAAGTTAATTGATAAAGTAAAATTTGTTTTTTTACTGTCAAAGTGCAGCCCCCATTTAGTCAGTGATGATTCCTTTAAATTGTAAAACCTTGTGTTATCATTAATCCAATATTTTGTCTCGTCTCCTCATGAATGTAGTGTCGTCACTGTACCAGAGGCTCTTATTCTTAACGTGCAAATTTTTCTATTTTTCAGGTCTAAGTTGTCTACAATGCTGCTGCGTGTCATAGTTTCAGAAAGTGAAATCAGGCGTCTTTCAATTGAAGACATCCCCTCAAGTGTTGAGGAACTGTCCCAGGTGTTACGAACCAACCTTGCCTTAAGAGGAGGATTCATTTTGCAGTTTGAGGATCCTGATTTCAATAATCAGTTGTGCAACCTACCGGACATCAAAGACCTTCCTGTTGACCGTGCAACTTTGAAAGTATTGTTCACAGCTGATGACTCCACGGATTCTACACTGGACACTGGAAGCCTCTCTTCTCCAAGTAGTGCAGATTTTGTTAAATGGCCTGACTCCTTCCCGATTCCAAAGTTTTCCCATGATGTGGAGCTGCAACTGAAAGAAGCTAATTGTAGATATGCTAAGGATGGATCTGTGATGGTGATTTCTAAAACTTTGAAGACTAATATCCTTGACACACTTGCAGACTGTATGTCAAAGATTACTGCTTATCCTGACAGGCAACACTATGAAAATGTGGCCAAAACACTGGTGGAAAGGCATCCCTGTCTGCGAGACCCAGGGTCAGAAAAGGGATGGTACTCATGGTTTCACAGTCTGAAATTCAAAATGGGAAACTACAGGCATAAATTAAGCTCAGCAGGATGCCCTGAGGTGGTCATAAACAAACGAAAATCTGGAAGTTCAAAAGGGGAAACTGTCAAAAAGTCAAAGAAGGGGGAGGTGAACTACTGTCCTGATCCACCTGAAGGACAGAGTCCTGAAAACATGGAGGTGAAGCGCAAGATAATGGAGGCTGAAATGCAGAAGAAAGACCCAAATCATCAGCTGATTGAGGATTTGATGGTTTCTACATTTTCTCAGCGTAGGAAAGACATTGTAGGAGATCAACCACACATCACAGAGCTCATGTCCCGATGGCCTGCTCTGTTCCATGAGAGACAGGTAATCGCACATCTGAATTAGTTTCACCAAGAGATTTAGTGATTTAATACTGAGTTAACTGTGTCCTGATGAGTTTTATATTCTATCACCTCAGATTAGGGCAGAATTTACAAGAATCGTCACCACAGACCTTCTGAAATCTTTTGTTGACGGACTTGATGGCCTGGTTCTGAGACTGCTGGAGGTCTACAAGGCAGCAACCAAATCTGGGAAGAAGCAGCCACTCAAAGACATTTTGGACTGCCTTGCAAAAGATGTAAGCAGAACTGAAGATGGCTAGAAAACTAGGCATCATTTGTTATTTTTGTTAAAATACATTCATCTTACTGCATGTCTTATCTTTTACAGGACACAAATGAAAGGAGAAGGGCTGCTGCTCTGCTTGGTGTGCCACGCTACATATCTGGGGAAGATCCATGAACTGTCATCAGGATGTGTGATGTATGACTAACAAATGTTATTACAAAAACTGTTTACATATTTAATTATTCCTCTTTCTTGATATCATTTCTTAAAAGTCTTTTTGTAGCATTTGTGTTTGCAAAAACTTATTTTTAGTCCTTAAGAGACTAAAAATGGGGGTTTTTAATCTGCCATACACTGTGCTCATGTGCATGAAAATACAAGTTCTGTGGATGAAAAAAGTTTGTCAAAAAGGAGGACTACCTGATGACAAAGTAAAGTGCTGAAAATATGTTGAATATGTACACATAAACAGGCTTTTTTTTCAGGTTGGACTTATTTTCAATGTCTAATTCTTCTGGATGTTTGCCTCATCCACAACAGTGGCCTGTTTCATTGACATTATGCTCTATGCTTTGTCAAACTGGGAGTGTGTCAGGTTATTCTCTGACTGAACAGAAGTGCATCATACAACCCCACAAGTGTCAAAACATGCAGATTGTTAAACCTCACAATAGCATAAAAACTTGCAGTTTAAAAATAACTGAGTATTTACATTCTTTACTTACACACAAATGTCATTATTTCTTTTCTATTTTTAAGGCTCATGCTGATATTCTGGATGATGCCATGAAGGGGATGCAGGTCGGTCTTCTGATTGCCTGTGAAGGTAGTGAACAGGGGGCCATCCCACACGAGGTCTTCGACGTGGCAGTTGTGGTGGAGGAGATCATTGTGCTTCACAATATTAAAGATGTGACAGTTGGCTTTGCTATGCTTATGGGTGTCATCTACTGTATCAATCTCAAGTATCCAAATGACATGAAGTATTCGTTCGAGTTTCTTCAGAGAGTGGTGATGAAGATCAGTCCAGACCAGGCCTCAGCTCGAGTACATGGTTTGAGAAACAAACTCCTGAGGTACAAACTGTAACATCTGGTATGTTTACAGTTTTGTTTTCTTAAATAAGAGTTCCTGTAAGAATTTGTTCAGTTTGTTCTATGCACTAAATGTTAATACTAATGGTTATGCACTAAAACATTTAGCATTGTGCTGAATCTGTGGAAAAACCTCTCAGGATTTTTGTGAGTTTGTTAAAACACTGATCATTTTGCACTTTTGGACTGTTTTTGAGAGATGGTAGCTAGTTGTATTGACTTTGGACTGCTACTGTTCAACGTGGTTAAAATGTTTTGTAAAATAATGGTCTATATGGAGGACTGAAACTCGCCAATAAAATGCACCATACCTCACAAATTTTTTACAATAAAACTTTAGGTAGAGTTCATAATTGGTGCCTTTTAAGTGCATTTATTGAGATTTATATAAAAAAATATTTCTGTTTGTCAAAAAATGTATTTCTGCTTTGGTCCTTCAATAAATGTTAAAACTTCTGCTTGTCTCGAAAAAATGTTTTCTTTTTACACTTGATTTAAGGCTTGTCTCATATTTGATAGAGAAAGAAAAATGTATAATCTGAAATGGAAGCGTATTGGTGTATTTATTTTTAGAAAACTGGTAAACTTGGCATTGTTAGTGGAGAAAGTGAGCAATATTTGGAAATGTTAGTTTACTTAAATTGCAATTTGAAGTTCAGTAGCTGCCTTAAACTCTTGAGTTAAATTAACTCAAAAAGGGAATTGGTATGAATACAGTTAGTCAGTTTAACTTTAAAATGAGAGTTGAAAGTATATATAATTGTTTGCTACTTCAACAAAATAAAACAAGTTTTTTTGAATGGATAACTTAACTTTGCAAGGCCTTTAAACTTGGAGTATGAAGTTCATACAACTAGTAGTCATTAGTTAGACAAGTGGTATAACTTAATTATTTGAGTTCAAATAGAATATGATTGTAATTTTACTTGACAAGAGTACTCAATTTATAAAGAATGAATAATGTTCTATAGTTAGTCATTTCAACTTATGGTATCATATTTAATCAATGAATTATCAGCAATTGAGCTACTTTTCTAGCTTGCCATCCTAAGTTGGAAAAAAACATTATTTCAAGTTGTGTTAACTTGTGCTTTTAAGGCAGCTGCTTAACTCAAGTTTTTAGGATTAACCACCCTAATTATTTTTACAGTGTAGCTGTCCTAGCTCCCTCTTTAACAAACAGTCTAGATCATTCTTTTGGCTTGGTATGGGTTTACTTGTTTTATGGCAGACTATAGTTCGATGGTTGTTCTTTCATAAACATCAACAAAAATCACAACCTACTTACTGCACACGTTCTATACTTGAATATTTTTGGTTTTTGTTTGTAATTGTGGAACTGGAGTTGCTTTAATGTCGAGACATTGTTTTGCGTGTTTTTTGACATGAGCTGCTGTAACAGTAGATTAAATCGCTGATTTTGTAACTCGAAAACCCATCAGGCCAAAAACTTTTTAGAAGGTCATAGATGCTTATAAGATGATGTATGGCATTTATCTCAACTGCTACACAAAAATGCTTGGAGCAGAACATTATAACAATGTTGTAATATCTAAACAAATATCTGGCCAACCATTCTACCAATGCTTCATATACTGCAGTCAATTACTGTTTATTTCAATTGTAACAAGAAGATTAATATGGACTTCTTCTAAGCAGGAAGCTCAGATGCAGATTGATTTTACTTCCATCATTAATGATGTAAGTTGGTTATTTCTTAAAGTTCATGTAAAAAAAAAAGTGAATTATGTTCTGTCTGCTACCCTCGCGGCCCCGTTTGGGATAAGCGTGATGGAAAATGGATGGATGGAAAGATGGTCTACTTTAACAGCTACAAGGTTTTAGAAGCCTCTGTCTTTGAAGTTTTACAAAAAATATTTAAGCTCACCGATAACCTATTTGTACTAAGCCAGGCAATATACTAAGGTCATCTAATCCTGCAGCACTAACTGCAAACAGTGATGCTTTATTTCTTTTTTTTTTCTCCCATTACTCAGCTTAATAACAAGGACACCCTCCTGTTTAACAGCTAGTGTAATATTATCCATTTGGTTAAAATAACTTCAGTGAGATGCCCTTTGTAGCCATTTACTATTCCCTGACTTCAGTTGAAACTAATTTTGTCTCTTTCCTACACTACAAATACAAAAGCACAAAAAACCCCCCAAATTAATTATTTTTGAATTTAATTGATAATTTCAGAGAGGTTGAATAGACAGTTTTAGGAGGAGACCAAGGAGAGATATATTTAAAAAACATTTTTAACAAAACTCTCATGTCTAGTTTTAAACAGCAAGTCCTTACTCAACCACAAAAAATGAACGACAAAAATGTTTGAATTGATGTATGATGTGTTTTGTGATGAAGTGATTAAATGAGTTTAACATATACAGAGATGGCAAAAGTACTCACTTTCCGTACTTAAGTAAAAGTACAGATACTTGTGTTAAAAAATACTCTGGTAAAAGTGGAAGTACTGATTAAACTTCTTTACTCAAGTAAAAGTAACAAAGTACAGGCTTGTAAATTTACTTAAAGTAGAAAAGTAAAAGTAGAAACCACTTTTTTCATGCCGTTGCCTACATTTTAAATGGATGTCTGCCAATAGGACTAGATCTTTGTTGTGTTCATTTTCAATCATCTTGTCGTCCATACTACTATGCTAACGCCACCGCCACCAAGCTGCAATAATTTGCCGCCAATGAATACCGCCGAATCTGTCGATTCATCTTGCAGTGGTGCGTCAAATGCAACGTAGATTCCCATCGAATTAGATTGACTTTGGTATTGATGACGTGAAAAATAATAACGGTAACTCTATTGAAATGATTCAAAACTAAAGTAACGAGCCAATTTTTTAAAATGTAAGGAGTAGAAAGTACAGATATTTGTGTAAAAATGTAAGGAGTAGAAGTAAAAAGTCGCCATAAAAATAAGTAGTAAAGTAAAGTAAAAATATCAGAAAAATCTACTTGAGTACAGTAACGAAGTATTTGTACTTCGTTACTACCCATCTCTGAGCATATATGACTCACTATGGACGAACTTGATGTTACAGATGGCACAGTAGGATTAGATGAAACACCATGAGAATGAATTATCTGAGTTTTTATTGTGTGTTCCAATGTAAGGCCTTGAAACCCTCTAGTCTATTTGAAATGTCTATTTCAAAGGCTGTTCCAAATTTGAAACAATAACCGGAGAGGAGTTACAGTTTGGTTTTAACCCTGCACCAATGTGATTGTGTAAAAGAATGTGTTTGAAGGTATTTTTTTATTTTATTTGTTAGAGCAGAACAGATGGCAAACCAGGAAAGGAAGAGCATAGTTTATCATGAAGCTATGATTTTAACACTCTTTTGGAAAGTGTTTATCTACCACAGAAGCAACTTTATAGTAATACAAACATATTTCTTTATTTTATAATTTACCTTTATCAACATAAACTTGTATGCAATACCAATACGAAAAATAGAATAAATATAATAAATTACACAAGTAACAAGAAACTAGGATCTCTCTCTATCTATCATACATTCAGTAATACTAGTTAAACAAAGCAACTTATCTTCAAAGAGGGCATTAAGATATTGAGTTAAATAAAGCCATAAAGTACAACTATATTTCCACATCAAATTTTCTAAATAAAGCAATACTATTAAGATTCTATAATAATACATTTATTTATTAATCTAATTATTTAAATATATAAGGCTTTTTAGTGTCTGGTTCTATTCATGTAACAAACCAAAGCAAAAATACATGAGAACTGTTGTTGGTTCACTGGCAGTCATGTAGTTGACACTACATTGAAACTTTGTACAGGGGTATTTCACTTCAGGGGCACTGTCCTGCATGGTTTAGATTTCTCCTTGCTTCAGCACAACTTATTTTCACTTATGGTTGTTTAATAGGCTTTTGCAAAATTGCGATCATCTAAATATAAATGTTGCAGGACTGTTGTGTGAAAAAAAGTATTTAACTAAAAATTCTAGTTAAATAATAATGGATTTCACTTAGTCTGCACTTTATTTTCCTTTGCAAAGCAAAATAGAACAAGAAAATCATAACAGCCCTCACA